AAAAAAAAAAAAAATAAAAAAAAAAAAAATAAATAAGACTCATGAGTTTACACTGATATCTTCCATTTCAATCCAGCACCTTCAATTTCAACACAGAATTCAATCTTTTGCTCCTTCCATGTTTTGTGTGAAACCGAAGTCCCTTTTCTACAAAAGTATTATACTTTTTGCTCAGTCCTAGAATGTATGAGTTTCAGAATTGCTAACTCAGACATTTGCAAAATAAAAGCTTAATAATTTGTTTAGATTTGTTGTTTTAACCTGAAGGCATAGTCTAAATATTGTCATTGAAAGTTACTTGGGTTAGTTGTTTTTTCTCTCCCCCTTTTGTGAGTTATCTTATTCATTTAAAATAAAAGTACTAGGTGGCACCTATGGCTCAAGGAGTAGGGTGCCAGCCCCATATACCATGAGTGGCCGGTTCAAACACGGTCCTGGCCAAAAAATGAAAAAAAAAACTGCAAAAGAAAGAAAATAAAATAAAAGCACTATTCACTAGCTTCTGATTTTTTTTTTTTTTTTTTGCAGTTTTTGGCTGGGGCTGGGTTTGAACCCTCCACCTCCATCATATGGGGCCAGCGCCCTACTCCTTTGAGCCACAGGTGCTGCCCTGCTTCTGATTTTTTACTTTAAGTTTTGGGATTTTCCTGTTCTTGTGGACTTTTGAAATTTTTTTTTTCTGAGTATGTGAAATATTATATTTTCAAAATTGAATCTGTACAAAAAAGGTATTTTATTTCTTTTGCGCATTTTCTCTTTTCTACCCAGTTCTCACTTGTGGCCCCTAGTAACCAATTTCATTAATCTTCCTGTTTTTCCTTTTACTCAAATGAATACATAAACATGTATTTTTTATTTCTCTTTCTTGCCCAAAGATACAATACTATACTCTTTTATACTTTGTTGCTGGTAGAATTTTAAAGTGAATCTTTTTTTTCTTTTTTTTTTTTTTTTTAGAGATAGAGTCTTACTTTGTCACCCTCAGTAGAGTGCTGTGGTGTCACAGCTCACAGCAACCTCCAGCTCTTGGGCTTAGGCAATTGTCTTGCCTCAGCCTCCCGAGTAGCTAGACCACAGGCGCCCACCACAACGCCTGGCTATTTTTTCTTGCAGTTTGGCCAGGGCCGGGTTTGAACCTGCCACCATTGGTATATGGGGCAGGCACCCTACTGAGCCACAGGTGCCACCCTCTTTTTTTTGTTTTCATTTAGACATTGGATCGGCAACAGTTCTTCACAGAGGAGGAGCTAAAAGAGTATGAAAATATTATTGCTTTACAAGAAAGTGAACTGAAGAAGAGGGCTCATGAGCTTCAGAAACAAAAAGAAGAGCTTCAGCGTCAGCATGACCAACTTGAGGCTCAGAAGCTGGAATATCATCAGGTGGTATTTTGTAAAAGGATTAGATGTTAAAAGGAATATTAGGTGTTTTACTGAAAGCCTGAGTTTTTGTAACATAATATTTCAATGTATTAGCAGTTATAGTGTTTTCTTTTTTTATGTCTAAATCCACCTATTCAGAAATAACAAGGCAAACAAGAGGTGCCTCACCAGTGTGCCACAGCCACCTCCCTGCATCCTTCCTTTCTACCATGATACCGATAAATAAGTTTCTCAGACCCAAATCATTATTAGAACCTCCTCCCCCCACTTTTTTTTTGAGACAGAGGCCCCAGGGTAGGGTGCAGTGGCACCCTAGCTCACATCCACCTCAAACTCTTGAGCTCAAGCGATTCTCTTGCCTCAGCCTCTCTAGTAGCTGGGACTACAGGTGACCACCACAATGTCTGATTATTTTTAGAGATGAGGTTTTGCCCTTACTCAGGCTGATCTCAAACTCCTGAGCTCAAGCAATCCACTCACCTCAACCTCTCAGAGTGCTAGGATTATAGGCTTGAACCACCATGCCTGTCCCCATTATTTTTAAAATTATTATTATTTTTAAAATTCATTGTATCTCTAGATCTCTGTATTTTCAGCTCCAACCTCCAGTATGACATGGGAAGTGGCCCTATGTGCAAATATACAAAATATTACTCCTCTACTCCCTCATCTTTCTTTGCTCCCTCTTCCTTCTCTGTTCCTTCCATTCCAGGCACATGCTCCTTTTCTCCTCCCTCCTTTGTTGGACTCTCCTTGTGTCTATCTTTTTCCAATTGATCTCCTTTCCCAGGATCAGCCATAAGCTGAGCTGGGCCTGCAGCTGCTGGTTCTGCTGTCTGGCAGCTTTCAGGTGCTCCTGGGTTTCCTGCAACTCCTGGAGGCCCATCTTGGCTGGTGTTGTGTCCTGAGCTTTTCTCTTGCTGGAGCTACTCTGTGGCTGCAGGAGCTACCTATATAGCAACCTCTCTGACATCTGAGAGGTGGACACATACTGAGAGTCTGCGCAGACTCTTTGCCTCTTCATTCTTCAGCTCTACCTGCAGAGACCTTGGACATGAGGACAGATGGTGCCCTGCTTCCAGATTCTGAGCCCATAAACAGGAGTGGGGTGTTGAGGTTCAGGCAATTTTCTGTGTTCTTGGTTCTTGACGTGCTCTTGGCTGAAGATGACCAGAGCATTCTTGCCCACCAAAGCAAGGAAAACATGAAACAAAGTTTACTGAGGAAAAGAAAGGTAGGTTTATAGAACAAGAGAAAGATGCAGGTTTACAGAGCAAGATAGGTTTATTATAGACAACAAATGAACCATCTTTGTCACAACAAAGGAAAAGGCCAGTATTTTCAGTTTTAGTATATTTGGAATATTAACTATATCTTAGAATTCGAATATCTTTGTTTTAGAAAACAATTTTCAGTTAGTTTGTTGTGCTTTGTCAAAGGTCATACATATGACACAAAACCAAATAAGGCTTGCTTCTAAGACTATCTCTGTTTTCATTCACCAGGTCATACAGCAGATGGAACAAAAAAAATTACAAGCAATTCCTCCATCAGGGCCAACTGGAGAATTGAAGTTCGAGCCACGTATGTAATTTCGTTTATTTGCTTAGGGAAATTAAACCATTGTATAAATGAAAATGTACATTCTTTACAAATATAATTTCAAATCGTTAAGAGTTATGGTTCTTTCTCATATATATTTGTAGAAATAGAGCCATTTGCATTACAGAAAAAGGAAAATGCTTCCAAAAGATTTATGTATCAGCAAATTTTAAATATTATGTCATTTGATAGTCATATTTTAGTGAAATTATTTATTTTAACATTATTTTATAATTCAAATCAGTTATTAATTGCTCTTACCAGAGAATGTGTTTTATAAATTATAATCTATAGCTAGCTAAGCATATTTTAAAAAATAAATTTGTATATGAAAGAACATTTTGAATAAAGAAAGATATCTATAAAATGAGAGCATATTTTTTTTCAACAGACATTTAAAGTCCGAACTCCACAAGAACTTGGAAGAAAGCTGTTAACTCAACATCTATTTTATCTTTTTAGCTCCCTTCCTTTTTCTCTGCTTAATAAATATTTTAAAGCATATTTGGAATAAAGGAAGATACTTTTAAAACAAGAACACATTTTTTTGGACAGAGATATTTAAGAATTGAAGATTACCAGAACCAGGAAGAAAACCCACTCATGATCTCCTCTCACATTCATTCTGCCCTTCTTTTACTTGTTTTCCTTTCTCAATTAAGTGGCCTGCTGCCATAATTTGTTTGTTTGTTTGTTTGTTTTAGAGATAGAGTCTCACTTTATTGCCCTTGATGGAGTGCTGTGATGTCACAGCTCACAGCTGACCTCCAACTCCTGGGTTTAGTCAATTCTCTTGCCTCAGCCTCCCAAGTACTCCCTGGGACTACAGGTGCCCGCCACAGCACCCAGCTATTTTTTTTTCTTGTTGTTGTTGTAACTTGTCTGGGACTGGGTTTGAACCCGCCACGCTCGGTATATGAGGCCAGCGCCCTACTCACTGAGCCACAGGTGCCGCCCCTGATGCCATAATTTAATGAAACTGTCAGTAACTATTTAAGTGAGAAACCTCTGTCTATTGCTTTTAAAATAAATTGCTCTCACTCATGAAGGTAGATGATGAAGGTAGATGATCTTTTATGGGTACTTATCATCCCCTTTCTCAGTAAAAGTCTCTTTGATATTAAGAGTTCTTCTGAAAAGGCCATAGTGTTTTCTGGCAACATTTTCCTGCTTTTAGCATCTTTAACTGTTAGACATTTTTCAACTGATTAGCTTTTGCTACCACTTTCAGTCATTTTTTTCATTCTTTTTTTTTTTTAACTCTATCATTTGAAATCAAGTTTTGCTACATATAACAGAAAAAACAAAGATAACAGAAGTTTAAACTCAATAGGAGTTTTTCTCTAGAAGTAGGTAATTAGTGTTCAGGTTTTTTCTGCTCTGCTGTCCTCAATGTGTGATTTTTATCCCCTTGCTACTTCATTCTCACTGTCCCAGATTGCTGCCACTGGCAGTGGGGAAGGCCGAGACAAAGGAATGTCCCTACTTGAATCAGCTTCCTTGCAATCATATGAGTGCAGCAGCACTAGCCCTTGTATCCCATGGGCCAGTACTGAGTCACACAAGTGGCCAGACAGTTGCTAGGGAGGCTAAGAAATCCATGTATCTGGCTAAAAGTTAACATCCTTTTACTAAGGAAAAAGGGAAAGGAATTCGTGGTAGGCAGCTTTCAGTTTTAACCCCGGTCAGCCTTGTTTGCTATCTAAATCTCCATGTACAGTATTCTTTTGAAACAGAAAACCTTTACTTTCTCCTTCCCAAGGAGAAACCACCAGTAATTCAATCCATTATTGCATAGCTCAAAGACCATGATATCTGGTGACATTAGTTTAGGATGTGACTTGTGGTCATCTGCACACTAAAGACAAGTTTTCTGCTCCCAGAACACCAAATGCACCATGCATAGTTGGAGGAAAAAGCTGTAGTAAAGCTGACCTTTTAGGAAAGTGGAGAACTGAAAACATAGCAGTCATTGATCCATAGCAATTAAAAAATTCTGGTTGGCAAAAGTACCATAGGAAAGTTCTTCTACTATGTTCATAGTTCATGAATATATTCTTCAGTTTGTCCTTCAGACAACCTGTGATTCACCTTTCTAGGAGGAGCTCTCTTACCTGATGTTCTCAGGGGCCCTTGGTTTTGCTCTCTGGAAAGTTTTTATTGTTCATTAGTTTTTAAGGATGCATCTGAAGGGGTATTGAAATATGTGCCCTCCTTGGAGGATGGATCACTTTATCAGGTCACTTCCTGTTATTGTGGGCTTGGGGGCTCAGGGATTGTTTCAGATAGTTAAGAGCCACTGGCTGTTGCAGGCCAGATTTGGGTTTTTATTTGTTATCATTTTATTTTGTTTCTTGGCCAAATGGTTCCCTAGAAACTTAAATTGGTTTCTGATCTGTTTTCTTTAGTTATTTCCATGAGTTGAACCACACACAGTCAAAGACATAGTTTTCACAAAGTCAAAAAACATAGTTTTTAACAAAGAACCTCATCATTTACTTGCCTCTACTCTCTCCATCCCCTTGAGTCTTAAATGAGTGGTACCTATTTGAAATCCTTTCAGACTGTAGGCTTGGATGGGATGGCAACAGTCTTATTCTGAGCTTTTTTTCCTAGGATGGCTCCTGTTACTCGGCAAAAAATTCTTTTTTTTTTTACAGTTTTTGGCTGGGGTCAGGTTTGAACCCACCACCTCTGGTATATGGGGCCAGCGCCCCACTCCTTTGAACCACAGGTATCGCCCTTGGCAAAAAATTCTTAAGGGAAAGTTCTGTATTGTGGACTGGGAGCAATTCTATCAGCAAAGCTATATTCCCTTGCAGTTCTGCAGACTTGTTAGCCTTAGAAGCACATTTCTCTTACATGATTTTGCTGAAAGACGCCAGAGGCAGCCACGGTGTGCTAGCACTCTATAGTAGTACCACCACTTTCTCTGATACCTTCAGCTCGGTTGACAGGAAGTCTCATTGCCCAAAGCCCATGGCCTTGTACTCCTCAACTAAGCCAACCCCATATTAAGGACTTTTTACTTATTGCACCTGACTTCTAGCTACAAATTCTGTACAGGTCAAGATTCTTGATTGTAGGTATTCGATTTTTCTTTAGCTATTAAATAGAAAGGGATCAATTAGAACTATCAATTAGATAGTTCACAGAATCTTTGGGAAGGCTGAAGAAATAGGCCTAGGCTGAACTTCTAGGAACTGCATCACCTGAGTGGGCATCAAGAAATTGCCTGTCAGATCCGGAAGCTGCCTGCTGAATCTGGGTGCTGTGAACAGTGGTCGGCTCCAGAGCCACACCTCCTCTGCCATGCTTTGTGTCAGCAGAAATGGATACCTCCTGTCCTGCCCCTCTCTATGTATAACTTGATTGTGTGTAAAAGTCTCAGGTAAGTGCATCTGATTGATTGGACCAACCATATCTGAAACCCTGGCTGCAAGGGACTTGGGAACTAGAGCGCTTACCTTGCCTACTTCTCTGTTACAGGAATGCATGTTAAAAGCTGCTGAATGAACCAGTCTACTCTAGCACCTCATAATTTTACATTAAATTTCTCTTAACATAAGTAATTTTTAAACTGTTAGTTCTTATTTTACAAATTTTTTTTTTTTT